CCATCAATGATCTATTTTTCCTATTGAGTAATTTATTTTCAGGAATGCAATTTTGTAAATCAATTGTTACATCTAATAAAACTAAGCAAGGAAACAGACAGTAATTAATAATAAAGTATAGCAGTCTTTCAGAAAATGCCAAGTATTGACATTAATATGGAGCAGCTGTAAATCTCGCATTCTGCTAATAAGAGAGCAAATTTGTACAACCCCTTTGGAAAACTTTTGGAGTGCCTAATAAAGTTGATGTTTGTGACTCCCATGCCCCAGCAAAGCCAATGGTAGATAAATATCCAAAAAAATGCATGCAGATAGCCACTAAATGACATGTTCTAGAATATTTATAATATTCTACTTATAATAACCTGAAACTGGAAACTATTCAAATGCCCAACAAGAGTAGAATGAATAATTTATGGCCTATTCACACAAATAATGACTCCACAGCAATGATGAAGAACAAACTACAACCAGATGCTATATAGAGAGTGTCATAACATGACTTTGAGAGAAAGAAGCCAGATGCAAGAGTACACGATTCAGTGTATACGAAGCACAGCACCCAGAAAAATGACAGCATGCTGCTAGAAGTCAGTTACCATTGTGGGTAGACGCGCACTGGGCAGGGCCTGGAACTGAGCTCGAGATGGTTTCCAGATGCTTATCATCTCCTGTGCCTTGCTCTGGGTGCTGGTTACACAAGCACAATCAATCAGTGAAAATTCATCAAGACACACTATATATTATATATTAATATATTACACATTATATTACACTATATATACTTATACTTTCTTATATGTAAGATCTATTCAGTTAAAAACTTAAAAATGTATACCAGGTCTTAAGAACTTATTATCCTAGAGAGGAGACAAGATCGTTAGAGATAAAATTACTGAAGACTATGTAAGTTATAGGAATAGAATAGAATAGAAAGAGTCAATGTGCAATTATTTTAATTAGTACCCTATCATATGTACTAACAGAAATTCTACTTAAACTTACCTAAAGCATATATTTACTATGTTGGCTCTTGTATATGAAAAGTCCAGGAAGTAAATAGAGTTTCAAATTTAATTATATAAAGGGGCCCAGATAGTTGATAGATGGATGGATGGATGGATGGACGGACAGATGGACAGACAGCTAGATGTATAGATAAATTCACCTTTTATCAATCATCCTTCTGTAAAGAAAGAAATCTATTTCCTGCAGGTCCAGGTTCAAAGCCATTCCTTTAGGCCTCCACGGTGTGCTCCAGCAACCTTGCCAACAGTAGCCATGCCACCCTCTCGGTTGGCCTCTGGCCACCACTGTGCATCCATGGTCGAGCTTCCCCCACAGCTTTGCTGGACTTTATCCTCCTGTCCATCTTTTAAGTCCCAACTTGAGCTCCATCCTGTCTATGGAGCACAGCAAGGAATCGTTTGGATTTTGACACAATCAAGTGACAAGGTAGGTTTTCCTCTCGCGTTCCTCCCTCCCCAAGGAATAAAATGAGGTGCACTCTTAACACAAACTTTCAGCAGAACACAGGGCTCTGACCCAATAGGTCTGTCTCGGCTGTGAGAAGAGAGGTTCATCTTGTTACCTGGGCAATGCCCGATAGGGCAGCTTCCCAGGTGCAGGGGTGAGCTCACCTCCCACTCTCTCCCCACCTCTGCCCAGGGAAAAACCTTGACTTGCAGCCAAGGGGGCCTGAGGCTGAGAGGGAGAAGAATTGGGCTTTGGGGTTAGACAGAAAGGTCCAGAGTCCAAAGCATCATTGAAGGAAGAGGAAGGAACAGGGGGCCAGAGGAGAAGGGGCTCCTCCGTGGCCTTCTGAGGTGGGCTTCTAGGGACTTGATGAAGAAGAACAAACATTAGGGGAGAAAAAAGCTGTTGGCCCCAGCCTCTGCTCTGCCTGTCAATTCAGTCATTGCAGTCAAACTTTTTAGGTAAAGAATTGTACTTTTCCCTTTTCCAAAGGTTACAGGGAAAAGGGATAAGGATAAATAGTATTGGTTGTAATTTAACTGTTTCGATTGGTTTTCTTTTCCTTCCAGCTCTACAGTATTACAAGCACCCCAGGAGCCTCAGAGGGGAGAGAAGCATTTTTCTCCTTTTATGATGCTGCCCTCTGCTGGACATTAGGAAATTCACAGGGGAAAACATTTGGTTTGTCTCTGGAGTTTTGTTTGGGTTTGATTTAGTGATTCAGGCCTAAGATTGTTTGGTGTGGGGAAAGATTTTCTGTAAAAAAAAAATAATAATAATAAGTGTTTAATTTACAATGAGAAAGAAATTAAGTGGTTTACATTTTTACAATGATGAAAAAGCAGAGATGACTGTGAAATATATGTACCTGTGTCGCTGATGAGTATGAAGTGACGTGACACTTCAGGGAAGTGAATTTATAGAAAAGGAGTAATTTAAAAAGGGCACTGCCTTGGACCCTGTCCGCCTTCTCTTGCAAATCCAGACACCAGAAATAATTTTAAAAGCTAAAAGTACTTATTCTCAAAGTCGCTCTACAAATTATGCCCACAAATGTGTAGGAGCGGGCTAAAGGCTAGAGAGATTGTCATGTATCCATATCAGGCAGAGACGAAAGCTGATTTTTAAAAAGATCCTCTAGCAACTTGGAAAACACAAATACCATGCTATCCACACTCAGCAGTTCTTAATCAGGGTTATGCATTGAATACCTAAAAATTGCAAAGATTGATTTTTCAGGTCCCAGACAAGAAGATTCTGCTTCGGGTGGACTGGGGTATGACCTGGGTATTGGAATTTTGGGAAAGCCCTCCCAGCGAGTCCCCTAATTATACCCCTAATAGAAAACTCTGAGTTAAATGAAGACAGCAGGGTGCCAAAGGGCATTCATAGATCACCTTTAACTCACTCAATAATACATCAACTGCACACGGACAGGAACAAAGAGAAAAGAGGACTTTGTATCTGGATGACTTTAAATATTCTGTCTCTTGCAAGACACCTACCAAAATTAGAACCACGCATTTGAGGATTCTGGGACTGCGTGAAGTACATAAATAATATGTGTCATGTTATTTCACATGATAGTATTTTAAAAAATGAGTTGAGTGGTGTTTTCAAGCTGTTAGTTTAGTCAAATATCAATGTAGAAATTAGCCTTCTGCAGCTGCGGAGGCAACTGAAGTTCCAGTTTGCTTGCGTGTGGCTCAGTCCCTCTTCCTAGAGTCATAAAGTGGCCTGAGTATCACTGATCTGCCCTTTCCACAAACACCCAGACCAGAGATAGCCTAGGACCATCTGCTGAGGGAGGGAGGTAGCCTGGCAGGAAAGACAAGAGACTCAAGGCCCAGTTTTGATCTGCTGCTAACTCACTGAGGGATCTTAGGGGACTCCTTTGCCTCCCCACCGATTACTATAAAATGAGAGGTTGGGGGTCTAAATTTAAGCACCCGCAGGGGTCAGATGATGTCTGTGAGTGAAACGGGCCAGGCACCAGCCTAAGGGGAATAGTGAGGCCTGTGGCGAGTTGAGAGCTTGTGCCTTTGTAAGGGGGTGGCCAGTGCTCAGCTCCTGCAGATTGCTCTACCGGGGTCACTGAGAACAGCTGTGCAGGTTGTGTGCTGCACAAGGGCACGATGTCAGAGGTGGTGTCCTTCACCTCACAGACATAGATATGTATCAATGACAGTTTCCTGGAAGATGTCTATACAGGGTTTTGAGGAAAGAATACCTTCTAAGATGCACGAAAGCGTTGTATGGACTGTCAGAAGCCCTGGTTACCACGTGAGAATACAGGTCTAACGTTGCCTGTTGCCAGATCTTCTTCTTTCTGTGTTTTTCTTTTTTTTCCCCTCTAAGTTGAAAACATGGCTTTTAATGTGAAATTCCCCTACATTAAAATTAGTTGGAAACTAATCCCAAAACATCATTTGACATTGTGATGGCTAAACAAATCACCTCTGGGGCCACATTCCAGCTATAGTTAGAGGTCCCTGACCCAGATAAATCCTAAGTTACTGCCATCTCAGAAACCCTCCTATCCTATGTACCTCATGTGTAATGTTGGGGCCATCACAGAGGAAAATGAATTACCCGGGTCAATTATATCAAGATATAATAGAGACTATACTTTTTAGAGGCTCTGAAAAGTAAAAGCGCAGCCTTTGAATGATGGTATATACGACCTCCCCACCTATCATCTGGTTAACTCTAATTCATCCTTCTTATTATCAACGTTATTTCTCCAGAGACAACGTCCTAAGACTTCCATCTAAATAAAGTTCTCCTGTTACGCTTTCTTAAAACACCTTGCTTTGCCGAGTGAACTTTTACATCATAAGATATTCATTCACTTGTGTGAATCATGGCTTACTGTCTGTTTGCTTATGAGATGATGGATTAGTCTGGACCTCATCAGGGACATATCTTTTCTCCTTGGTGTCTCTGACCTGAACTTGCTGCCTGGGGTTTGACTTCTGGGTTCCTGACCTTGGAGGACGTCTGGTTTCCATGGCTGGGAAGGAAGCTCTCTGGCTTGCCTCCCTCCCCCTCATCTCTGAGCCAGTGATGTTCAGGACATCAGGCTTGGCTGGTGGCTGAAACCTGCCTGGATTGCGGTTGGGGGCTCAGATTTCAGATAACGCACACAGATACATTCTCTGATAGACAGTCCACTTCCTCTTAGATAATGGGGTTGGGGCTAGAGTTTTCGGCCCAGAATTAAATTCTATTCCTGTACATATTTTACGTTCTGATTTTATTTCATAGGCATAACAAGATCATTATTATACCAACTAATAGGCCAGCCCTCTTGAAGATTTATCGAAGAAATCTGGTAGTCCTTAAGGCCAACTGCATTTCTTGATACTGAAAAGAATTTCCTAAGGATCATCCATCCCCAAGTCAGTAAAAGATCAGCTCAAACAGCTCATTCCATAAAGCAGCTAAAAACAGAATGAAGCCAATGAATGTGGGAGAAATTGCAGAAGGAGAAGGAAAAAACAAAATCACACAAAGCTAACTTCTCAAGGAGCAAAAGCGAGAAAAAAAGGTAAGAGCAGAGAAAGAAAGATTAAGGAGGAAAGAGGACCAGGGAGCGCTCCGGAAGTGGACATTATCAGGGGGACAGTCTTCGTCCAAAACGCCACCTCCATCTCCTTGAGTCTCTGTCCCACACTCAGGTTCAAACCCAGCTGCAGGTACTGCTCCGCGTGATTGTAGGCTGGCCACAGAGGCAGGCCTTCCCCGTTAGGGTCCCTGGGAGTGAGAGCAGAGGCAGCGGTGAGATGTTCATCCTTGAACACCCGGTTTGTGGCGGGGGTGTCCCGGAGGTTTACTTACCCGGTCCGAGCAAAGTTGGCCCAGTATCTCATCATCTTCCTGCTCAGCAGTTTCTCCTCTTCTGTGGCTCCTTCTGAGGAGGATAATCACAAAACTCGGCTCGCACAAGGAATGCCAGACGCCCAAGACGTCTCACCCTTTGATGACTCTCTCACATCTCTCTTCCGGCTGGATCCTCACCAGCCTCCCAAGCCATTTTACTTATGTTGCATTTGCAGATACTGAGGCTCACGCCCAGGGTCACGGCTTCCACATGGCGGAGTCCAAACACACGCCTTCCTTGTCTACCTGATGTTCTCCCAGGCTTTCCCACGAGGCGGCAAGTTTCTTAGAGCGAGAGGGGTCGCCTCTCTGTCTCTCTGTCTCTCTCTCAACTGATTATTGTATCTCTTGATTTGAAAAAATAATACTTGCTCAAAGTACAAAATCCCAAATGCAGAAAGAGCATCTCATGGAGATCCGTTTCCCTCTCATTTCTCTCCACGGCTACCAGCCTCAGAGGCAACCATCGCTACCAGCTTCTCAAGTGCCCTCTGAAGGCTGCTAGACGTGTACAAGAGTTTATGTGACCATGTTTTTACACACATAGTAGTATAATGGACATATATTCAGCATGTTCCTTTCTGGCTAAAATTCCATGTAGGACATAGTTCCACAGTGTCGCCTATAGAGCTTCCATTTTTTTTTTTGCCATTTAATGTTCTCTATATAGAGTTATATGTAATTATATATAAATACACCATTAGTGTATCCAGTGCTCTATTAATGGATCTTTACATTATTTCCAAACTTTTGCTGGCAAAAGCAATGCTTTAGGGGGCACATCTATGTTTGCATATGTGGAAGCATAACAGCACAAAAAAATCCCAGACATTGAATTGCTAAGTGCTATAAGGACTTCAAATTTTTGTAGTTTTCCATTGATTTGTAAAGTTGTCTGTTTCTCCGTACCTGCTCAAATAGTAATTTAAAACGTATTGTTCTTCCCAAACTTGACCAATGAAAAATGATTCCTCAGTCAAGTTTAGTTTGTAGTCTTTTTGTTGTGAGTGAAGTTGAGTGGATTTTCCTGCTTAAAAGATTTTTTTTGTTTCCTTTTCCATAAACTTTCTATATCTGTTACCCAGCTTTTGACTCAGTTGTTCCTTTTCTCTACGATTTTAGGAGCTCATTAGATATCAGGAAATTTACCCCTTGACACGTGTCATTCATTTTTTCCAATCTGGAGAGTCCATGTGGCCATCAAATACTACGGTAATACTATACTGTACATCAAACAGTACATCAAATACTCAGTAATGGTTGCCGAGTAACGATAATAAAAACATTTATTAAGCAATAACTGTGTGCTTATGAGAATTATTTCATGTAACCCTCATGACAACCTAGGAGGTAGTTCTGTTATCTGTGTTATAAGAATAAACGAAGCAACGAGTGAACCGCAGTGCCCAGATACACTCTGTCTGAGAGATTCTGTCCTTACCTTCGAGAGGCCAGCATGCACTGGTTAAGAGCCTATATTGCACTATTTTTTAAACGAAATATTGTAGTGATATCTCCTGTGTGTAGTTCCTATAACTTTTATTTTTATTGATAACCTCATCTGATTGGCTTATTCTTTCGGGCACTGAACAGGCCATTAATTCAGGAATAAATGAGCTAACCTCACTGATAACAGTTCACACGCATTTACATTAGATCACCTGTATCTGGACCACTTTGGGCTGAAATTATGAAAAATGAGGTCCTTGCCTTTTAAAGCCCTGGGTGGTAGCCCCATGGGAGAGTTCTGAAAAGGGCAGGAAGGGTGAGTCCCGCAGGCAGAGAGATGTGAGAAAGTGGTTCTCATCTTTTAAAAGATTAGATTGCACGAGAGTCCCCCAGTGCCCACCTCCATAAGCAAAGAGAAACATTCATCAAGCAAACTTGGCAGCTCATTTTCATCTTAGTTTCTAAAAATACAAGTGGAGAGGGGGCCATTTTCCAGGGGAAGGTCATGTTTGTAAACCATAGATTAAATAAGCAAATGAAAACCAGTCCTCCGGGTTCTCCTGCAGCTTTGGGGCAGTTGAGGGGCTTGGTGCTAACAGTGGGGAGTCGTGTGTTCCCCTCAGCTACCGCACGCTCACGTTCCTGCAAGCGCAGGAGCCCGAGGCAGCTTCCCCTTCCTTACCGAACATGACAACGTCACCCTTGAGGAAGGCGCCTCCGAAGACGAAGCGAATTTCATCAGAATGATCTGCTTTGACGAAGGCTGGCTTCGTGTCCTTAAAGCACTGGGGCCGGTGCTGGAACTCGTAGAAGTAAATGGGTGCGCCAGCATCTGCGGAGATGTAGAAAAGGGTCCAGGCCAGGCATGCAGGCGGGGGAGGCGAGACTGTTCCTGCCTCCCTACCCCTCTAATCCTGGATTCAAGAACCAACGGGTGGGGCAGCCCAGAGACAAGAGGTGACTCGAATGGAGCTAACTTCCCTCTCCCTCATTTGAGGCCTGCTCCAGAGGCCCTGATGACAGAGAACTCACACCCCTCAGGGCAGCCTGGAAGGTCAAGAGTTCTACTAAAAAAAAGCCCTTCGCACCAATCCAAGATCTACCTCCTGTGATGACTTCTCATTGGCCCCAGTTTAACTGCCTGGAGACAAACAGAACAAACTTATTTTTTTCTCTATGGGATCATTGCAAACATGCTTACGAAGTCTCCCCTTAAAGCACACATACAAACATACATGTGCACACACAAACATATGCATGCACACACATACAAATGCATGAGCACACACATGGGCACACACGAACATACATAGTCTTGGTCTCACCTTCCCCTTCAGTCACTGGCTCATTCCTCTAACTCCCTTCTAGAAAAACCCCACAGTACAGTTGCCTTATACTCATTATCTCTGCTTCCTCTTCTCTCATTTTGTCTTTTAATTGCAGTGTCATTTATGGACAATAAAAAGCACAGACTGGAAGCATACGGTTTGACATAAGTTTTTTCAAATGTAGCCACATGCATGTAACCACCGCCCTAGTCAGGACATGTAACCATCACCCCAGAAAGTTCCCTTGTGTCTCCTTCTAGTCATCTACCAAGACACAATGTTTTTATTTCGCCTATGTTTGGCCTCTGCATAAATGGAACAACACAATACATACTATTTTGGTGTCTGGCTTCTTTCATTTAGCATAACGTTTTTAAGGTTCATCTCTATTGTAGTGTGCATCAGTACTTCATTTCTTTTTATGGTCAAAGAATAATCCATGGTGTGGATAGACCACATTTTGTGTTGTTTATTCATCCATCCGTTGATGGACATTTGAGTTGTTACCACTTTTCAGCTACTCTGAATAAGGCTGCTGTGAATATTTACGTACAATTTTTGTTTTCAGTCATCTTGGGTATATCCATCCCCAGTTGTGGAACTGCTTGGGTTATGTGGTAATTCTACGTGTAACATTTTGAGGAACTGCCAAACTGCTCTCCGCAACGAGCACACCATTTTACGTCTCCGCCAGCAGCAGATGAGGGCTCGTTCCTCCACATTCTCCATAGCGCTGTTACTTTCCGTTTGTGTTTCTGTTCCGTTGTTTGTTCTTTTACTACAGCCACCCTCGTGGCTGCGAAGTGGTACCTCGCTGTGGTTACGATTAGCATTTCCCTCATGACTAACAATGTTGAGCATTTTCTCACGTGTTTATTAGCCATTTGTGTGTCTTCTTTGGAGAAATGTTCATTCGAACCTTTGCTCATTTTTGAGTGGAGTTGTTTGGTTTTTGTTGCTGTTGTTAAGAGTTCTTTATAAATTCTGATTAATAGACCCTTATCAGATATGTGATTTGCAACGATTTTCTTCCATTCTATCGGTTATATGTTGTCCTTTGATATAGAATAGTTTTTAATTTTGATTAGGTCCAACTTATCTATTTTTTTCTTTTTTAATTTATGCTTTTGTGTTATATATAAGACTCCACTGCCAAATCTGAGGTCATTGAAATTTGCCCCTATGCTTTCTTCTAAGAGGTTTATGATTGTGGCTCTTATATTTAGGTCTTTGAACCATTTTGAGTTAATTTTGGTTTCCAGTGTGAGGGGAGGGTCCAAGTTCACTCTTTTGCAGGTGTCATCCAATGGCCCCATCACCATTTGTTGAAAAGACTATTCTTTCCCCCATTGAATGGTCTTGGCAGCCTTGTCGAAACAATAGACCACAGATATATAGGTTTATTTCTTGATTTTCAGTTTTGTCTCACTGATCTGTATGTCTATCCTGTGCCAGTTCTGCATTGTCTTGATTATTATTGCTTTGTAGTAAGTGAGTTTTGAAATTAGGAAGCGTTAGTCTTCTAACTCTGTTCTTTTTTTTTTTTTTCTTCAAGATTACATTGGTTGTTTTGGCTTCCTTGAAATTCCAAATGAATTTTAGGATGACCTTGTCCATTTCTTCAAAAAAAGGAGATTGGCATTTTGATAGAGATTGCATTGAATTTAGGGATTATTGCCATCTTTATAATACTAAGTCTTCCAATCTATCAACACAGGATGTCTTCCTGTTTATTCTTTAATTTCTTCCAACAATGTTTTATAGTTTTCACTATACAGGCCTTGTATCTCTCAAGTATTTTATTCCTAAGTATTTAATTCTTTTTGATGCTATTATAAATGACATTGTTTTCTTAACTTCATTTTTGAAACATTCATTGCTAGTGTGTAGAAATAAAATCGACTTCTGTATATTGATCTTGTATCCTGAAACTTTGCTGAATGTATTTATTTGCTTTTATAGGTTTTTTTTGGTGTGTGTGAATTCTTTAGAATTTTCTATATATAAGATTATGTCATCTGTGAGTAGGATAGTTTTCCCTCTTTCTTTCCAATTTGGTTTCCTTTTAATTTCTTTATCTTGTCTAATTGTCTTGACTAGCATTCTAGTACAAGGTTAAACATTAGTGGTGAGAGATGACATCTGATCCTGATCTTAGGGGTAAAGTTTTCAGTCTTTCACCATTAAGTAAGATAGAAGCTGTGGGTTATTCAAAGAAGCCCATTATCAGGTTGAGCAAGTTCCCTTCTATTCCCGGTTTGTTGAGTTTTTCATCATGAACGTGTGTTGGCTTTCGTCAAATGCTTTTTCTGTATATATTAAGATACTCCTGTGTTTTTTCCTTTATTTTCTTAATATGGTATATTATTGATTGATTTTCATAGGATGAACCATCCTTACATTCCTAAGATAAATTTCTAGATCACAGTGTACATATTCCTTTCAATATGCTGCTAGATTCAGTTTTCTAGTACTTTGTTGAGATTTTTTTACATCTATACTCTGGAACACTGGCCCCAGAAAATCATGGGGATGTGGGAATTTTCTACATGGTCCTGAAGCAGGGAAAAGAACAGAAACAAGAACTGATCAACATTCCTGAACCCTGAAAGGCAGGGGACTTGCAAAGGTCAGTGCGCAGGGTTATATCTCGGACACCCTTGGGAGGTCTCTCTCAGTGAGGGAACAGAAGGGCGGAGCAGGGGCCAGTCAGCAGGCCACAAGGATCCCTGCAGCCACTGGCCTTGCTGGGCTGTGGCCCTGCAGGGAGTGGGTGAGGATGCTAAGAGACTCACCTCTGTGATACTGAGCTGTGACGAGCCCCGGGACCACAAAGAACATATCTCCAAGCAAGTCGAGCAACCTGTTTCGTATTTCAACCAGGGAGTGCTTGTTGTAGAAGTATTCATCAACCAGAAGGCGTAAATACTGGGGAGGCATGTGCTGTAAAAAATCACAGGCACAGGAGGTCTGGGTCAGTGACAACAGCCAATAAATTAAGCATCTGTCTGTGCAGGCTCGATTCCGAGTGCTTCACATGCGTTGTCTCGTTTAATCCACACGGCAACTCTGTGATGTCAAAAGTAGCCCCATGTTACAGAATAAGCAACTGAGACCCAGAGAGGTTAAGTGCTTTGTCTAAACAGGTGGAACCATGATTCTTTCACAAGTCTATTTGCATCTAAATCCCATGCTCTTAATTATAGTACACACATGGCTCTGAAATGTTTCAGAAACGGCCACCCCTGGGCTGAGCTGGCTATATCATTTGCAGGGCCCAGTGCCAAGTGAAAATGTGGGGCCTCTCGTTCAAAAATGAAAAGTATTCAAGATAGTGACAACAGGACATTCAGCCAACCGTAGGACCCTTCTGAGCACGAAGATGCACACCCATGAGGCTGGCCCTGCTCCTGGCACCAGCAACGCCTCCGGGCCTTCGCTATTTGATCTAAACTAGTCCCCGGGAGTTCCCTCGTCTGTGAAAAATGGGTTGCTCAGAGGGTGACGTGAGAAGCAAACAGAAGAGCACGCTGCCTGGCATGGAGCAGGCCTTCAGTTCCGTCGGTCCCCGGAGACCATCGCCAAGTCCTTCGGCAGGGGGTCCCCTCCTCGCTGTGACCTGACACCAGGCCATCTCTTAGTATGCGATCCCTCAACTAGACCCCGGCACAAACACCGGAGGGTGGAAACTAAATTCATGAAGGTTCGGGTCTGTCACGTAGGTGCTGTTCCTGGGGGGGATCTGATGCTCCAGGGAATGCTGGGACACGTTGTTGCACCTCAAACTCCTGATCTAAGACAGAGGCACAGCCCTTCACAGGTTTCTGTGCAATTTGGAGGTGCCATGTATCATATCAGCCAGCACTGCTCAGACTTGCCTCAGGGCCTCCGAAGCCCGCCTGCTTTCAATTGGGCCCAGAGCAAGTGAGCGCTCCGTAGCAAGCCTGGGCTGTGGTGCAAGTGCCCTGCCCTTCTTGGACCATATGACCAGCAGACCCCTCAAAGCTCGAGGGATCTGAGGTGGGTACAGATGCTGTGTGGAGCCTGTGGAGAACCCCACCAGGGCAGTCACAGGGCAGACTCCTCGGTTCTGGAGCAAGGCTGTGCCATCTGCACCAGGGAACAACTAACCATTTGAAAAGCACCTCCTGCCCCGCTACTGGGTCCTAGGAGAGACTCACGCCCACCCTCACAGTCCTCCTGCACCTTCCTGCATACCCTTCTTCCCAACCCCAGGACCTGGCTCAGATGCCTTCTCCTCTTAAAATCCCAAGACCCAGATCAATGGTTTCCTCCTGCGTGAGGCCATCTCCAACCAGTCTGAGAGGTTCCACTGCCTGACCTATGTTAAATATCTCTCAAACCTTGGTCTCAACTCATCACCGGGCAGCCAAGACTCAGCCAACATTGCTTCTGAGCCTTAGGGCCTGAGGGGTCCCCTGCCTCTAATGGATGTGGAATCACGTCGCCCTTTGTTCCCAGCCCCTGGGATGAACTTGATATTCTATCCGTCTCACTTAAAAGCCGCACACGCCCTTCCCTGCTGCAGCCAACCACTTTGAGCTCTTCATGCTTTTCTGCTCCTAACTGGTCCTCTTGGTCTTCTGGCTCCTCTCGCTCCTGCTCCTCCATCAGCCAGACAAACCTAACTCATTCTCCAAAATGCTTCCAGGAGGGAGCCACCTGCTCCCTCCTGTGGGCGCCTCAGGGTCTCTCTCGGACACCCCTCTGCCCTGATTTGTATAGCCATGCACTGAAGTTGCTTGTCATATCCGTCTACCCTAAAAGTCTACAGGTTCCTCAAGTGCGGGGTGGTGGTGGTGGTGCTGGTGGTGGTGCATGCTTATCATTGTGCCCCAGTGCCTAAGGGCATGTGGACTCTCAATAGACATTTGTTCAATGAATAAATGAATGGAACAAACCTGGTACAGAATACACACTGAATAAATGTTTAGGGGGAAAAGGAAGGAAGGAAGGAAGGAAGGAAGGAAGGAAGGAAGGAAGGAAGGAAGGAAGGAAGGAAGGAAGGAAGGAAGGAAGGAAGGAAGGAAGGATGGAAGGAAAGAAAATTTGTATTTGAGGATGTAGAGCAGTCCAAACAAGAAAACTTGGACACTAATGTTAGGCGTTTGACAGCAATGGACAGATGAGGTGGCCTTTCCATTGCCAAGGAGAATGTTAAACTTGCTGAAGAGTCCTTCCTTTCTTCTGAGGATATACTTCTTGGCCTTGACCTCAGTGGAGACCCTACTATAGGACAAGCAAAATAACCTCTTTTAGAAGCCAAAATGCAGGTCTGAAGTTGACATTGCATCTTTAAGGAAGGAAGGAAGGAAGGAAGGAAGGAAGGAAGGAAAGAAGGATGGAAGGAAGGATGGAAAGAAATCCATCTCTAATCCTCATGTCCAGGATGTATTTGTGCAGGGAGTGAATGAATAAATGGTTAAATAATGGTCCTCGGTATTGCTAGATCCCTGTACAGTATGTACTGGCAGGTAGTAAACACGAGTCCCTAGTTTCAGGTGAGTTTCAGAACTCAGAACTTTTCAGGTTGTAGATCGGTAATTCAGTACGTATGCTGCATATTATGTAACATGCCGGGGAAGCAGCACGGTGGCCCCTTCATTATGAATAATGAGATAAAGAGAATGAAAGTGTGGGAATAAGAAACACTAATGGCTGTATCAGTCTAGGTCAAGTTTGGCTGCCATGTAGGTTACAAAAAGCCTCTGGGTTTTCAGAGTACTTTGGATTTTGAGTTTGTGGATAAGGGACTATGGAACTCCACCTAAAAGATCTATTGAATAAATGAATGAATGAGGAACATCTATATTGCCAGCTCCCACCCCTGAGAGTGATCCAGGGAGGTTTGTTAAATGACAATGACTCTACGAGAGTCACAGTTGCCCAAGCTCACTCACCAGGATTGTGTGTATCAAGCGCAGGGTGAGAGACTTGTTGGAGTCTCCGAAAATCTCAGGAATCTCCTTCTGTGGAGAGAAGCAGAGTACTTCGTCAGCACATCACGTCATCAGAAGGGAGACCGGTGTCTCTGAGGGCCCAAGCACCCTCCTGTCAGATGGGAGGCTGAGAGGAACAGGAAATCTTTCGGCCCCCAGGGGACCCTATGTAGGAGCAGCCTCAGTGAGTGAGTTAAGCAACAAAATTTCTTCTTTTCACATTTGATAAAACGTAGCCATTCCCTGTCATCCCTGTAGACCTGTGGGACCTGAGTGGCTGCCCTGTGAAAAGGCCATGTTGTGGGCTGAGTTGTGTCCCCCACCAAATTCCCATACTGAAGCCCTAACCCCAAGACCTCAGAATGTGACTGTGTGTGGAGACAGGGTTCTAAAGAGGCGATTAAGTTAAAATGAGGCCATTAGGTTGGGCCCTAATCCAACTGACTGATTTCCTTAAAAGAGGAGGAAATACGGACACTCAGAGGGACACCGGGGATGTGTGCACACGGGGAAAAGACCATGTGAGGACACTGCGAGAAGGTGGCCACCTGCAAGCCGAGGAGGGAGGCCTCAGAAGAAACCAAACTGGCTAGCACCTTGATCTTGAACTTCTCAGCCTCCAGAACTGTGAGACCATGAATTCCTGTTGTTTAAGCCCCCAGGTCTGTGATTAGTTATGGCAGCCCTAGCAAACTAATACAGACCACGACTTGGCTTTGACACGAAGATCAAAGAGAGGCCAGAGAATCTTGAAACCAGTGTATTACTGGTCTCTTTCTAAAGACTCTGCAATCAGGGCCTCTGAGAAGCCAGCACTTGGCCGGCGGCCAGTGAGGTGGGTAAGGACATGGGCTCTGCTTGGTACATAGTGAGAGCTACGAGTAATTATTTATGAAATGACCTTGCCCTGGCCAATGTTACGGTTTAAGAAAGAGGGGGCATAAATACTATTCACTTGTCAAATGAATTTCCCTGGTACATTTTCTGCTGAAAATATCAAGGTTAAAGAATCACTGAGGTAGATATTTAAACGTATCCGTCTCTTGGAATCTGAGGGAATCCCCGGAGTCATTCAAGTTATCTGCAAGTATATTCTAACTACTAAGAACCCTCTCTGTCTGTTCAGGAGCTGGGATTTGTGGCCACCAACGAGTCTTGTAATGCGACAGACCTATGTGTTTCATAACCTCGTTTCCCCCAGCTTGAGAGGAGGAGGTTGGCCTACATCAATGAGCTTTGATGGCACTCTGAATTTGAGTACTCCACTCTTCCGAGGACAGATAAAGGTTTATTTCAAACATGGAGGGTCTTCTCAAAACATGAGGTCAAGAGATCGTGGCTCCTTTTCAGCATTCAGGCCTCGGCTCAGATGATCCTTCCTTGGAGAAGCTTTGCACAGCCACACTTCCTCCTGCCTAAAGAAGCCTTCTCCACCCCATTTATATCCTTCACAGCACTTATCGCTCACTGGAACCGTCCTTCCAAACTTGCATTCCATCTGTCTCTCCCCTGGAGAATGTAAGCTGGCGGAAAGCTGGACCCATGGACTCGTTCGCTATTAAATGCTCGGTTTTTATAAGAGCTTAGGGCACAGAGTAAATGCTCAGTTCATTCTTGTTGAATGAATGAAGTGACTCAATGATTTTGCAACTTGCACAAGCTTAGAGAGCATTCTTGGAAATCCGAGTGCCAGAACTGAGGCTGGGTGTGAAAGCGTAAAGGCCTGAAGTTTTCAAATCTACACGGATTTCATCTTTGAAGGAGTAACTGTGCTTATTTGAAACAGCCATTGGTAATGCTTTGAACAAATCTCAAATGGGTCTCCTCCTAGCTTAGTGTTTCATAGAATTGTTTCTTATGACATAGAACTATACGAAGAGCAGGGTGGAACTTGCTACAGCTGACCCCAACTCTCAGATACACTCCTTCAGAGAGATGAAAGATGACCACTGTATACCTGACCGTTGGGCTTCATCGCTCACAATGCTTGGTGTCATCTACAGGAATGTCTCACTGTGCCTCACTGTTCAAGGAGCCACAGGAGGCGCAACCAGAATTCTTACCATGGGCAGCAGGAAGCCACACTCGTGGTTATTGACTCCGATGATAGAAGGAATTGAATTAAATGTTTTTCGAGTCAATAGTTTTAGAGGCTCATCAGGAAAGAAAAAACCGTCAACCACTCGAGTGAAAGACTTGGTTTTCTGAAACAAGAATAGAAAAATCAGACACTGTCTCTGTTCACCAAATCTGCTGTCCCCAAACCCTAGCCAACCTGAGCCAACACACTCAAGCAAAATTCATAAAGAAAGGAAAAATAAACCACACATGGTCCATTCCAAAACATCTGTGCTGGCTGGCCAACCCTGCCACTTCCTTTGGCAATGGGGCTCAAATTCTCTGTGCCTTAGTTTCCTCATCTGCTAATCGGGGATAATAATAGTATCTACCTAAAAAAAAATTGTAGCCTAGGATGGTGGTTCTCCGAGTGTGGCTCCCGGACCAGCAGCATCAGCATCACCAGGGAATTTGTCAGAAATGCAAATTCTCAGGCCCCACCCCAGATGTACTGAACATGGAACTTTGGGGATACAGTTCAGCCAACTAAATCCTCCAGGTGATTCTGACGTTCAAGTGTGGGAGCCACTGGCCAAATGCATTGGGCAGAGATGGCGAGGGTAGCAGGGTTCATATGAGCATCTTCCTGAGATGTCTTCCTCACCACTGTGTCTTGGATCTGGCTGGGTAGCTCTTGGGTCTCAGGAAGGAACGCCTGGCTCTATTGATGGTTTTTGTTTTGTTTTGTGTTGTATTTTTGGGTTCCTGTTAGGGAGTGGTGGTAGGAGGGAGCACACAAAAGAGCTTTTGCCCGACATCAGGTCGAGGACTTGTTATCCACATCTTGGAGTCCAGGAGAGCTCACAGCAGATCCTTAATCCATGCCAAATAACTGTTTAACAACTGTTGGCATTTGACCTTGCTCTTCCAAGGACTATTAGAAGAGCGAAAGGGACAAACAAGACCATCCAGTTCAATGAATCATCCAGTGATGGAAATCTGTCAGCGGTCATCTGGACTCTCTGCTTGCATACCTACAGGGGTGGGTATCTCCCTGCCTTCTAAAGGAGCAGATCCCTTTTCTGACAACTGAGTTTTTAGAAAGTTCTTGATCATACCAAGCCACAATGGCTTCCTAAGAGGACTTCCAACTCTTGACCTTAATTTTAGCTTCTGGGGCATGTAGAACAAGTTTGGTCTCCCTTCCCAGCCAGATATCTTTAATGACTTAGAGACAACTTTTGTAATTTGTATTTTGCTGGATCTCCTCTAGGCTAAGCAGGCACCCCTGGCCCATAAAGTTCCTTAAATTGCCTATAAGGGTTCTATGTTCCACAATTTTGCAGCCATTACTATGATTCCCCAGCCCCCATCTTTCTAAGCCCTATGCTAAAACAAATAAGAGAGCGGCAGGATTTGGGCTACCACTCCTCCATTCCAAAGGCCTGCCCCCCTGGCCCCCAAACCTCTCCTCCTGCTTCACCTGGTTTATGCCTAGCAACTCCGTGGAGGATTTTGTCCTCAGGCACTGCAGCAGGGCCTCGGAGTCCGCCACGCTGCAACCGCAGATATTCGCAACCATCTGCAACTATTTCCAGAGAAGGACCAAATCAGAACACAGTGCTGAGAGCCTCCAGGAAAACAAAAGTTGCAAAGAGTCCTCGATCCAGCCACGGGCTGGTCCTTCATGCACGAAGCCCAGCCCTCTGCCTCTCCCCAGTCCCATGGAGCTGTGGCGGAATGGACACTGAGGTCAGCTTGGCACTGCATCATCCTTAAGAGAGTAACGTCTTTTTTTTGTCTCTACACCAGTTTCACTTATTCTTGACCCTCTTTGTCATCTTTAGCAATCACTGGAGCTGAGGGTGGGGATTCGTCAGCCTGTGGCC